TCTAAGGCCAAGTTGGAAGACAATTTTGGAAGACGATCAGTAGCATCCAGAATCAAGTACAAAATATGATTCCTCCCTGCCAACGCACAAACCTACAAAAATTCCAAGATAGAAGTCATGGGCTTCCTCCTTTAGAATGAATTCCTTACAAGCCCACAGATTCTGCTTCAGGGTATCCTGAGTTCCAATTTGCTTGAGTGCCAATAATCTGGGGCTCAGCCATCTGGCCTCAGAGTCCCTTTTATGTCTCCCCAGAAATAAGAAGGTCTGTGTTCTTATATAGACAATATTTCTGGAAGCTTTGTTCTCTCAGAGTTCCTGTCTTAGTTTGGGATGCCTCAGAACCCTCAGACAATTATTCAAGTGTAAGTCATTTACTGAGGAGGTGATCCCAGGAAACACTAATTAGGGTAGGAAGCAAGCCACCAAAGTGCGCATTAGTAAGCAAATTTTCACTGTGGGCAACTCCACATATATGACTCCACATATATTATTTAATAGTCATATTAAATAACACTGCTAGCCAATTAGAATATATATCTCAGAATTATCCCACCCAAGGTGTCGGGATACTGGGGTCTTTAAACAGCCATTCTCATCAGCTGTTGTTTGGAGTGTTAATTCCTGCCCTTCTGGCCTGGCGTGTGGGTAGAATGAGCTCCAGCAGGTAAAGCCAGCAGAAATTCACAGGTGCTGGTTGTTGGAAGTCAGGCCAGTGGGCAAAAACATGGGAAATGCCAGGAAGTAGGGGTGGGACGCTGTCGAAGGGGCTACAGTTCCCAAGGTGGACAAGCAGGACCCACTTATGCCATCAGGAAGGCTACCAGCCAGGGAAAGTGTTTGCATGATTTTCAGGGTGTAATGATAATCTGTATGGTGGCCCTGAGTAATCTTTCCAGTAGGGAACAGCTGAGGATTTAGGAACAGAATCAGTCCTACATCCCCAGGCCATTGGCACTGACAAGAATCAGGCAGGAAGTTGGGGCTCAGGATGGAAATCTTAGTTCAGAGGGAACAGGGGTTCTAAGGTAGGGAAACAGAGGCATAAATCTGCATTTCTCTAGGCAAGTGATTCCCAATGAGGATGATTTCATCCTGTAGGTATTTCAGGAATGTGTGGGCCATTTAAAAAATGCTCGTCACAATTGAGTGACGCTCCTGGCACTTAGTGGGCAAGATTCATAAATGCTAGGTATTCCTACACAGTAAAGAACTGTTCAGCATCCCTAAATCTTATCCTTTTCCTTATTATTTTTTTAGACAGGGTCTACCTCGGCTCACTGCAACCTCCGACACCTGAGCTCAAGGGATTCTCCCACCTCAAGCGCCTGCGTAGCTGGAACTACAGACGTGCACCACCACACCCGGCTACTTTTTGTATTTTTTGTAGAGACAGGGTTTCACCATGTTGCCCAAGCTGTTCTCAAACTCCTGAGCTCAAGCAATTTGCCCACTTAGCCTCCCAAAGTGCTGGGATTACAGGTGTGAGCCACCGTGCCTGGCCTCTTTACATATTCTTATAGGTAGAACTTGTTTATAAACAGTTGAATCTTCAGCCTAACTTCATTTTACAAATAAGCTCAGTCTTTTTTTCATGGCTTTAATACAGCAAAAAATTTTTAGGAATGCGGCTTCCTTTGTTTTTTTTTTTTCAGTCCGGAGGTCTTGTATTTATTTATTTTTTATACCTGTTACAACATGAATCATAAGGAAGAAGTTCCAGCAGCTCAGGCTCCTTTTCATTGATTCTCACAGTGTGCCTCTCTGGGTGGAGCAGGCTGGCACTTCAATTGAACCCAGGTAACTTGCTCTTTGGTTTCATTCTTTTTCTGATCTTTTTCCTTCATGTGTTTCAGGAAGCTACCTCTGCTCTTAGGGTGCTTAATATGCTCAATACCCACATTCATTCTCTTGGCAACAATCTTGCCCTTAACTTGTCTGTTTACAACATGCCAACAGCATGTGCCTGGTGACACTGTAGACTTTTCCAGTTTTGCCATGGTAACATTTGTAGGGCATTCCTTTTTGAACAGTGCCCATTCCCTTGATGTCTACAATATTGCCTTTCTTGTAGATTCACATGTATGTGGTCAAAGGAACAACTCCATGTTTTCTTTCTTTCTTTCTTTTTTTTTTTTTTTTTTGAGGCACAGTCTCGCTATGTTTTCTAAATGGCTTTGAGACTATGAATTAGGTGCCTCTCTTTCTAAACTTTGTCTTCGTCATTTTGGCAAATTACTGGAAGATGGCATTTCAGCCAAAAGATGCAACTACATTTTTAATCAAAAGAAGACTATATTTTTGTCGGCTGGGCGTGGTGGCTCACTCCTGTAATCCAAGCACTTTGGAGGCCAAGATGGGCGGATCATCTGAGGTCAGGAGTTCAAGACCAGCCTGACCAAGATGGTGAAACCCCGTCTTTAAAAAAAAAAAAAAAGAAGAAGAAGGCTATATTTTGTTTTGTTCAGAACTCTACCAGCAGTTGTACAAGAGCTTAGCAAAGCATATTATTCGCAGCTAGTGGTAATATTTGAATCACCAATTCAACATTCCTGATTGAGTCAGTTAGCATTTGCAGTTCTCGCATTTGGGTAATTTTATGAAGAGACGAAAGCATACACTACTTTATTAAGTCTTTTTGATGTAGCCGTGCCAGAGCATTTAGATATGGAAATACATATTATTCTACTACAGGTTACTTCCCTTTTATTTTTCTTTTGTATTACAGTTAGAATATTATTTACATGTTTTAAAAAGTTGTGTGCAGGCAAGTTATATTTTCTGTGATTTTTAAATGGTGAAGAAAGCGTTACAAAATATTTGTTATAAAAAAGCAGGGTTGAGTCTGGTAGGGCTGTTTCACTGCCTGAAGCTTATCAGAGAATATCAGGGATAACAAGAGGAGTTCAAACGCCCCCTGCTGGTAAGGCCCGGCTCCTGCCATCCTGAAAGCCTCGTTTCTCGTCAACAGTGCTCATCAATTCTGGACTCAGCCTTGAGATTTTGGTATCTGTTTTTAAAAAGCTATCAACAAACCTGATCCAGACTAGAATGTCAAAGGTATCAATAGATCTAAAAAACCTTATTTTTAAAAAAGAAAAAAATGTGATTGAGAGGGATTGGAGGCTTTTACCTTGAAAATGTGATATGAGGATGAGCCAAGGGAGAAGGAGGAACTAAATCCCTTCACTTCATTTTTGAAGGGCTGACATGGAGCAGACCGATTCTGAGTGCGAAACAGGGGAAACCAGGACCAGTGGTCATATAACTGCGATGAATGCTTTCAAAATATTAGGATGCATATTAGGATACAAATATGGTCCCTTTTTTTTCAAATTAAATAATCAAATTCCCCTATCGCGCACTTCCCATGAGTTTTTTTCTGGAAGTTCAGTTCCTCTTTCCCGAGCCTTCCCTTCCTTCTTGTAAGAATCATATGGAAACGGATCCATCAAGGTTCTCACAAACAAATGGAGACAGGAGGCCCGCGTGTTCCCCTCCTGCCGTTGCGTCCTGCTCCCACGTGGTGGCACTGTTGTAGACAGCTCAACAGTACTCTTGATGCCACTGCAGAGTTGACGGTAACGATTGCCACGGTTCTTTGAGGAGGCATAGCCCCAGCCTACAGAGACCCCGTCCTTTTCTCCTAAAACGTTTTCCGTTCTCAGTACTTGCTCGTTCAGCAAATTTTCCTAGAATGCAACTTCCTGGAAGACACACAGTCACTTCTCACGGAACAAGCCAGCCCCGTTTGCACTGTGGTGCTGGTGTCTGACTCTGCCCAGACCCAAAGCTCTGTCCTTTCCTCTCTCCCAGGATTTATTCACTCCGGGCGTAGGGCAGCTTTTTCCTCTGGAACTCTCAAGGTGTAGAGTCTCATTCTCCGCATTTCTCAGGCCGGCTGCCCTTCCTTCCACCGTTCTCAGCTCATTTCTGCTCCTGTCTATTCAATGACGTGTCAGCCAGTTTCTCTTATTAAACAATTATGATTGTATAATAATTATGCCTCTTCTCTAACAGGCACCTATTACAATTCTTTTAGGGTGTGGGACAGATTTTATCTTAATATAAGAATTCTTAAAGCCCGTAGCTCTATAATGCCTGCCTCGGGAGGTAGTTGAGTTCCTTGTCTCTAGAAATAATATGGGCTGTCTGCGTAACCCTCTCGCCAACACCCCAACAGGTGTGCGGGACAAAAACCCCTGCCGTCATGAAGGTGTGGCTCGGGAAGGACAAGGCTTGACTGTATTAATAGTTAAATCCCCTGTTCCCCCAAATGTGCCTACTTCACAGTTTCCCCCTTTTGTTGAAACTAATGAGTCACGATTGGAGTAATGTTTTTCTGTGACTCTAAAACCATTTTGCTTAATGAGGTACTAAGTCTTTATAATTAGGCCCAGAAGGAAACGAGGACGTGGCCCTTAAGAGCAATAATTATTTCAGTTATTTATGGTAATAAAAATTTGAATATAGGAATTCTTCCTCAGAATGTGACTGTTTATTCTTTTACATATTGCCTAACAGGCAATTACCCTATTAAGGCGGCGTTTTGTTGCTAAATACATTAATTGAAATGTAAATTAAATGTAAATCAACTAATTAAATTGATTTGTAATGAACTTGTCAGGCGGGCCTCTCTGATCAGATGCATTTCACTAATAAACAAGCATTGCAGCCAGCTCAACACACAACTGGGGCGAAAGGGTGCCTGAGCTCTTTCCCATCTGACACCGGTGAAGAAGGGAGGGTCTGCATTACCCGGAACTTCAGGAAGAAAGGGGAGCATTTCGGCCAGGCCGTTGGAAACAGGCTTTCCTTCTGATACCTTTATGGGCCTTGTTTTGGTTTTTTACAGACGCAATGCTTTCAGATGCAAAAGCTAGAAAAATTCAACTCAAATTGGGTCATGTAAATGAAACATCCCAAAGTAGGAGGAGCTTTGGGCGTGGCTCCTTCGGAGATGCAGCTCCATTGCTCTCTGATTTCTCTCGGCTGTGCACTCCTCCCTGCGTTGCCTTCACCTTTGGTTGGTGTCTTATGGACTGCAGGCTTTATCACACAGAGGAGGAGCAGGACTGTTTCCACAGTCACTGAAGGTAAGGCTTGAGGCTTGTGCCAATTGAACCAGGGCAGCTTTTGCCGCTGGCATGCACTGGTACCGCTGAACGAACCAGTTGTTAAAATAGTGAGACATTTTGATACAGTTACCAAGTAGCTACTTTAGTACCCAGTGACTGCTGGATACGCAAACGTCTCCTTCCTACACTGGCCTCTCTGGCTTCTCACCCAGAGCCCCACAGACCGCTTTATGCTTCAGCAAGGAAAGGATTAATGCTTGGTGTAAGAGGGGCCTCCAGAACCCTGCTCTGGTGCCATGGCTGGTCCCTACCCTGATTGGTTGGGGGCCTTGTTATGCTGGTTGTTAAGTATTCTGAAAATGTTCTCGGTACGTATTAGATCACTCCTAAACCAATCTCTAGGGTTATGGGAATCCCATTTACTGATTAGCTACACTTCCTAATTTATACTTTGGCAAGGGAGAAGATTTTTTCTTGGTGATTCTAGACTCAGTCTAGGAGAGTGATCCTCAAACTTGATTGTGCATCAGAATCCCCTGGAGGGCTTATTAAATCACGGATTGCTGAGCTCCATGACCACAGTTGCGGATTCAGTGGTGGATCCTAAGCCTTTATATTACTATCAGCATCAGGTGATGGCGATGCTGCTGGATAGCAGATGCACCTGACAGAGCAATAGCTTAAGCATAACCTGAGAATGACCCTGGGGCCTAAGAAGAATGTGTGTTCAGAGCACTGAGCTAAGGAATCTAGGAGGGCCCAACCCAGAGTTTCACTTGCTATCTATGAAGGACATTTGAACACATAGCCCAGCCCTTGGAATACAGGCCATGCAGGGGATTGAGGCCCTTTGTTTTGGGTTAGAAGAAGGTTGCCAGGTACAGGTTGCTAGCAGGAGGGTACTGTATTAGGGTTCTCTAGAGGGACAGAACTAATGGAGTGTGTTTGTGTGTGTTAAATTTATTAACTCACACAATCGCAGGGTCCCACAATAGGCCGTTTGCAGGCTGAGAAACAAGGAGAGCCAGTCCCAGTTTCAAAACTGAAGAACTTGGAGTCCAGTGTTGGAGGGCAGGAAGCATCTAGCATGTGAGGAAGATGTAGCCCGGGGTGGGGGGGTAGGCCAGGCTCTCTTTTCACATTTTTTCTGCCTGCTTATATTCTAGCCAGGCTGGCAGCTGATTAGATTCTGCCCACCCAGATTAAGGGTGGGTCTGCCTTTCCCAGTCCACTTACTCAAATGTTAATCTCCTTTGGCAACACCCTCACAGATACACCCAGGATCAATACTTTGTATCCTTCAATCCAATCAAATTAACTCTCAATATTAACCATCACAGGTACTAAGTGAAAATGCTGTATAAACTGCATGCATTTTACAAATGGTAGCGGTTCTCCTTTTCAGGCTGCCACTACTAGACCATGCCTGTACGTAAGTCCCCCTGATAAACTCTATGTCTCATTCACTGGATCTGGGCCTTTTTGACACAGTGCTATCCCTACTGACTCTATAACAGCTGCAAGACTGGAGACCACACTTTGAGAACCACTGCTCTAGAGTCTTTTCTGTCCTTGGGAAAATCAAGAACATTGTAATTGCAACAATTTTCTGAGTTAAGTAGTTGAGATAAGGAACCTAGTTGAGAAAGGCAGCTCTAGGCCAGGGACCTGCAAACTGTGGGTCATGGGCCAAATCCAGCCTGCCACATGTTTTTGTAAAGCGGTTTGGGAACACAGAAATGTTCATTTGTGTATAGATTATCTATAGTTTCTTTCATGCTACTTTGGCAAGGTTGAGTAATTGGGAAAGAGATCTAATGGCATGCAAAGCCTAAGATATTTACCAACTGGGTCTTTCAGAAAAAAATCTGCCAACCCCTGTTCTCAACTAATCAAGATCCACCTCTGGAATTGAAAGTGGAGTTAAATCTCATCCATCGGCCTAGACTACACAACTGAAGATGAGTAGAGTAGATGGGAAAAAATGAACCATGTTCACCATAGTCCTCATCTATTAAAATAATCCCTGCTCTAAAGAAGTTCTATTGTTTTGCAGTCAAAGTACCAGCTAAAATGAGTAGTAGCAGAAGTAAACAAAAATATTTAGCATCAAGGATGTGGATCTGAGGCATAGCAAGATTTGTCTTAGTACAGTTCCCTTAGGTTACCTCAGAGACCAATAGACTCACAGATTGAACTGTCTGTCAAGTCTAAAATTCTAAGAAGCCTTCAAGGTATGGGGAATCTAAGAGCTTCCCCCAACCTACTTTTTTTTGGCCAGTGAGGCACAGATGGATCTTATTAACACAAAAAGATGTATCTAAAATCATTCATTCATTCATTTAAAAAATATGCTGAGCACCTACAACGTAAAAACTGTTCAAGGGACCAGGGATTTAGCAGTGAACAAAATCAATCATTCTGCAGTAAAGTTTGCCAGTTGTTAAGGCTTACTGATGCCCACAAAGCTTCCAATCAGTCTTTTAGTGATCACCCTTTAATTTTGACACATCTTTATAAAGAAATAGAACACTTCCAGCATCCTAGGACTATTCCCCAGCACCTCCTGTCCCTTTGTTCCGTTTCATCTACCTCTTCCCTCTCCTTAGAGGTAACTGCTATTCTGACTTTTACAAAATCGCTCTCTTGCTTTGATTTTTTTTTTTTTTTTTTTTTGAGACAGTTTTCCCTTTTTTTTTTTTTTTTGTTTTTAATGGCGCGATCTCGGCTCACCGCATCCTCCGCCTCCTGGGTTCAGGCAATTCTCCTGCCTCAGCCTCCTGAGTAGCTGGGATTACAGGCACGCGCCACCATGCCCAGCTGATTTTTTGTGGTTTTAGTAGAGACGGGGTTTCACCATGTTGACCAGGATGGTCTCGATCTCTTGACCTCGTGATCCACCCGCCTCGGCCTCCCAAAGTGCTGGGATTACAGGTGTGAGCCACCGCGCCCGGCCTCTTGCTTTGTTTTATACTTTTATCACCTAAGCATGCAAGCATAAATGATTTAACCTAGTTTTCTTTGTTTTGAATTCAATGTATATTTAATCACACATTATGTACTCATGTCTTGCTGTTTTCAATCAGCAATACATTAAGATTCCTTCATATTATTGTGAGTAGCAACATTATTAATGTTGAGTTGCATTTCATCACGTGTATATATACCACATTTTATCTTTTCATTCTACAGTCGGTGGACATTTGGGTCATTCCCATCTTGAGGTTATTGTAAACAATGCTGCCGTAAGCATGCTTGTGCATGCCTCCCACTGGACTTGGGCATAAGTTTCTCTAGAATATATACCCAGGAGTGGAATTGTTGGGTCGCAGGGGAAGAGTATTACCAACTGAATTGTATATTGCCAAATTATTTTTCAAAATCATGCCAATTGATGTACTTAGCAGTGGAAGAGAGTTCCCATTCCATACCCTTGCCAACACTTGGTACTATCAGACTTTTAAATTCTTGCTAATCTGATATTTTTAAAATGTAACTTAATTAGATTGTGGTAAGAACACATAACCTGAAATCTACCCTCTTAACAAATTCCTAAGTTAATTTATTGTTGACTATCGATACAATGCTGTACAGCCGATCTCGAGTTTATTCATCTTGCTTAACTGGAACTTTATGCCCACTGATTAGTCATTCCCATCCCCTCCTCCCCACATCCCTGGCTACCACTCTTTCATTCTATGAATTTCACTATTTTAGATACATAAGAGGAATTCTGTAGTATTTAGTTTTCTGTAACCGGCATGTTTCACTTAGAATAATGTCCTCAAGGTTCATCCATGTTGTTGCATATTGCAGAATTTTCTTCCTTTCTTAAGGCTGAAGAGTATTTCATTGTATGTATATATCACATTTCCTTTTTCATTCATCTGTCAATGAACATTTAGGTTGTTTCCACATCATGGCTATTGCGAATAGTGCTGCAGTGAACATAAGAGTGCTAACAGCTCTTTGAGATCCTGATTTCAGTTCCTTTGGAAAATTACCCAGAAATGGAATTGCTGGATCATATGGTAGTTCCATTTTAACTTTTGTTTAGTGACCTCCATATTGTTTCTCGTAATAGCTGCACAATTTTGCATTCTCACCAAGAGTGTTATAAATGTTTCAGTTTCTCTATATCCTCACCAACACTTATTGCCTTTATTTTTTAATTTTTTGATTTTTTAATTTACTGTTTGAGGTGAAGTCTCACTCTGTCACCCAGGCTGGAGTGCAATGGCTTGATCTCAGCTCACTGAAAAACTTCTGCCTCCCGGGTTCAAGCGATTCTCCTGCCTTATCCTCCCAAGTGGCTGGGATTATAGGAATCTGCCACCATACCCAGCTAATTCTTGTATTTTTAGTAGAGATGGAGTTGCACCGTGTTGGCCAGGCTGGTCTCGAACTCCTGACCTCAGGTGATCCACCCGCCTTGGCCTCCCAAAGTGCTAGGATTACATGTGTGAGCCACCGAGCCCGGCCTCACTTGTTGCCTTTATGTCATGTGGTCTTAATTTGCATTTCCCCAATTACAAATCAAGTTGAACACCTTTTTTTATGAGTTTTGGCCATTTAAGTCTTTTTATCACTTGTCTACAGAGCTTATGTGCAGGACATCTTTCAGTTGCACCTCCAGATCCATTCACCACTTCTTTACTCTGCCTTTTGTCCTCGGAGGCTGACCCAAATGGATTACAGACAGGGGATCCTTGACCTCTAACTTCAGCACTTGTTGAGCACTGAAGGGAGGAAGGGAAGGGAGATTGGGGTGTTTCGTCCACCACCTTCCTCTTTGCAGAGTCAGAAGGAGCTGACTGCATCCTTTGACCACAGTTCCTGGAAGGCAGCTCTCTGCAGCCGCTCTTTGTGCTTCTGGATTCTAGGAACTGTTATGTCTCCTTGTCCTTTCAGACCTAGAATAGTAACTGTGGACTCCCTATACCCTACTCTCAACCTTGTAAATTTATGTTTGTAAAACTCTCCACAAATTTATCAATATGAGTGTGCCATATGTTTCCACAACACAGTTGATTACCACATTCTAATGAATTTTCAGGAGTTATTTATTGTGTTTTGGATATTCTTCTTTGTTGATTATATGGGTACAAATATCTTCTCCCACTCAAATCACTTTTTTCCTTTTTTTTTTTTTTTTTTTT